GTCTCACTCTGTTACCCAGGCTGGAGTGCAGTGGCTGATCTCGGCTCACCGCAGCCTCCACCTCCCGGGTTCAAGTGATTCTCCTGTCTCAGCCTGCCGAGTAGCTGGGATTACAGGCACCGGCCACCATGCCCGGCTAATTTTTTTGTATTTTTAGTAGAGACAGAGTTTCACGGTGTTCGCCAGGATGGTGTATCTCCTGACCCCGTGATCTGCTCACCTCAGCCTCCCAAAGTGTTGGGATTACAGGCGTCAGCCACCGCCCCCGGCCGGGCCCGGCTAATTTCTGTGTATATATATTTTTTGGACAGAGGAGGGTTTCACCATGTTGGCCAGGCTTCTCTCGAACTCCTGGCCTCAAGTGTTTGTTTCACCAGCCTCGGCCTCCCAAAGTGCTGAGATTACAGGTGTGAGCCACCGCGCCGGGCCATGAACATTTAGGTTATTCATCCACTCAAAAATATGCATTGAGCGCCGACCTCGTGCCAAGCGCCACAGTGGGGACTGTTGCAATGAGAACCTGGTACCCATTTCTCTACCCACGCGTGTGGGTGTACGGGTACCGATTGTGGCGTGAATTTAGAATGCTCATCTATAGTGCCAGTGGCTCTCAAAAGGTCGAATCCACTACCACAGCCACCTCCGGGGCTTGGCTGGGACTTGTCCATTTCGGAGGGCAGGTCTGGGAACCGCTGCCTTTCAGGAAAGGTGCTGACTTGGGCCACAGCCGCTTCGCTGGGAAGCAACGGCCCCAGTTAGGCCCGGGGCGCGGCCACACCCCTGTGGGGGAGGGGAGGGAGGCCGGCCCGAAGGGAGTGGACAGCCCCCCTGTCAGTCTTCCCGAGTCCGGGAGTGTAAGATGAGACGGGGGAAGGTGGGCCTCCTTCTTGGGGAGGGCGAGGAGGAACTTCCTGCCCGTGCGCTCCATGGTGCAGAGCCCTAAGCGCGCGGCCTGGCGGGCTGTGGCGTGTCAAGGTCCGCCTGGAGCTGGGTGGCGGCCTGCCTGGGGGCGGGGTACCCAACTTGGGGGCCGGGCTGAGGCCTCCCAGCCCCTCGGCCACATTGAATAGCCTGGGCTGGACCGTTTTTGTCTGCGAAGTCCTCTCCCAAGTTCCAGCCGCGTCCCCGGTGCCTGGGGCAGGAAGAATCACTGGCAGCTCGCGCGCCCCAACTTGGAGCTGGAACACCACGTTTCCAGCTTGGTGTGGGCCTTGCGCCTCGGGACTGACCTCGCCCCCGCTGACGTAAGCATCCTGGAAATTGATTCCTCCAAGTCCGTGGCGGGGGAGCAGGACTTGGTCAACACTGGACTTGTTGCAGGCGAAGAGATAGGAGGCGTGGGCTCGTCCCTGGCTTGGAGAGGTGACTCTCCGATCAGCGTTGCTGGCACTCCCCCGGCCTCCAGTCCCTCCCTCAAGACTACGGGCGACGGTAGCTTGTTGGGGCTCATTGCCCCCTCATCCCAGATATCACCCTGGAGATCTTAAAGACTCTCGAGAAAAGCCACGTGGGGGGCTGGTTCCCCTGGGGCTTCCTCCCGTCCCCCGACTGCCTAATTCTTTGGAGTGTCCCGGATGTCTGCAAAGATGTGGATTTGGACGTCCTCGTGGAAGCCCTGAAGCCCGTGGGGACCTTTAAGAAGATCGGGAAGGTGTTCCGCAAGGAGGAGGACTCCACGGTGGGGATGCTGCAGATCGGGGAGGACGTCGATTACTTGCTCATCCCCCGAGAGGTCAGGCTGGCCGGGGGCGTCTGGAGAGTCATCTCCAAGCCCGCCACCAAGGAAGCAGAATTTCGGGAGCGGCTGATCCAGTTCCTGGAAGAAGAGGGCCGCACCCTGGAGGACGTGGCCCGCATCATCGAGAAGAGCACCCCGCACCCGCCCCAGCCCCCCAGAAAGCCCAAGGAGCCCCGAGTGAGGAGGAGAGTGCAGCAGATGGTGACTCCTCCGCCCCGGCTGGTCGTGGGCACCTACGACAGCAGCAACGCCAGCGACAGTGAGTTGAGCGAGTTCGAGACCTCCAGAGACCGGAACTGCCAGGGCCCGCGGCGGGGCAAGGCGGTGCGCAGAATGCCGGTCAGCTACCTGGGCAGCAAGTTCCTGGGCAGCGACCTGGAGAGCGAGGATGATGAGGAACTGGTCGAGGCCTTCCTCCGGCGAGAGGAGAAGCAGCCCAGCGCGCCGCCTGCCCGCCGCCGCGTCAACCGGCCAGTGCCGGTGTTTGAGGACAACCTGGGGCCTCGGCTGTCCAAGGCGGACAGGTGGCGGGAGTATGTCAGCCAGGTGTCCTGGGGGAAGCTGAAGCGGAGGGTGAAGGGTTGGGCGCCGAGGGCGGGAACCGGGGTGGGCCAGGCCCGGCTGTCCTCCACCGCAGCGGGGAGCGCAGGGGTATCATCCGCGCCAGACGGCACCAGCCCCAGGGATCGCGTGGGAAACGCGGGAGATGTCTGTGCGCCCGAGACCTCCCCCAGGCGATGGAGGCCCAAGATGAACTGGGCCTCCTTTCGGCGCCGCACGAAGGAGCAGACAGCATCCACAGGTCAGGGGGCAGACTTCCAGGCTAATCATGGGGGAGAGGCTGCAGATAATCAGAGGGAAGGGGCTATAGCTGGCCAGAGGGTAGAGGCTGCAGATAATCAGAGGGAAGGGGCCATAGCTGGCCAGAGGGTAGAGGCTGCAGATAATCAGAGGGAAGGGGCCATAGCTGGCCAGAGGGAAGAGGCTGCAGATAATCAGAGGGAAGGGGCCATTGCTGACCAGAGGGAAGAGGCCCCAGCTGACCAGGGGCCAGAGGCTGCAGATAATCAGAGGGCAGGGGCCCCAGCTGACCAGGGGCCAGAGGCTGCAGATAACCAGAGAGAAGAGGCTGCTGATAATCAGAGGGAAGAGGCCCCAGCTGACCAGGGGCCACAGGGTGAAGATAATGAGAGGCAAGAGGCTGTAGATAATCAGAGGGCAGAGGCCCCAGCTGACCAGGGGTCAGAGGCTGCAGATAATCAAAGGGAAGAGGCCGTACATGACCAGAGGGAAAGGGCCCCAGCTGTCCAGGGTGCAGATAATCGGAGGGCACAGGCTGTGGCGGACCAAAGGGCAGAGGCTGCACATAATCAGAGGGCAGGTGCCCCAGGCATCCAGGAAGCTGAAGCCTCAGCTGCCCAAGGGGCCACAGGAACAGTTCCAGGAGCCAGTGCCCGGAAACAGGTCAAGACAGTGAGGTTCCAGACCCCTGGACGTTTTTCATGGTTTCGCAAGCGTCGGAGAGCCTTCTGGCACACTCCCCGGTTGCCAATCCTGCCCAAGAGAGTCCCCAGGGCAGGTGAGGCCAGGAACCTCAGGGTGCTGAGGGCCGAGGCCAGAGCAGAAGCTGAGCAGGGAGAGCAAGAAGACCAGCTGTGAGGTGGGAGCTAGGGACAGCCCACGGGCCCTCCTCCCAGGTGTGGGGGAGAGAGGTGCTCTTTGTGCCTCTGAACTTGGAAATGGAGGTGGGTGCTGCCCACATCTCCACCTAAGCACCCTCTTTATTCTCTTGTTAAAATTTAGTCTCATGCTTTGATTTTTTATTGTTATTTTTTAGAGACAGTGTCTCACTCTGTTACCCAGGCTGGAGTGCAGTGGCATGATCATAACTCACCACAGCCTCAAACTTCTGGCCTCAAGTGATCCTCCTGCCTCGGCCTCCCAAAGCACTGGGATTACAGGTGTGAGCCACCATGTGCACCACCTGATTTTAAAAAAAAGACTGATTCCTTGTAGCAACCCAAAGAATGTAAAGAAAGAAATCGATACAATAAGGTGGCATCACCCATAGTTTTAACTTCCTGAAATGCAACTCAAGGTGCTCAGCTTGACAAGAGGAGAGAGGGAGGGCAGGGGAGAAACTGCCTCCTTTTTCCGTCTCCCTTTGCCTGCACACTTAATGTTGACTGCCTCCTAAGACTTAAAAAGAAGGCGTTAGCCAACATGCAAATAAAAAACTTTCACGAACTGATTTCTTAGCTTTGGACTTGGCAACTGACGAATGCTCTGGGGGTGACCTGGCCCTTGCTGTCGGTCCCACTCCCATCCTTGATGGTGGAGACACCTGTGTTTATGTTGTCACTTCACTTGTCACCCTCGTGCGCCTGGGCTCTGCTGGTTTGGAGGGGACGGGGCCCTGGGTTTGCACACCGCACCCGATCTTGGTTATAAGGTACAGTAAAAGTGTCCAGAAAGTGCATTCAAAAAACAGATTCTGGGGCCCTGGGCACCAGAGATGTGGATTTGCTAGCGCTGTCCGTGTGGCTCTGAATTCTGTGTGGATCAAGCTTCACAAACATCTGGGCAACTCGGCTGCAGGACACATTGAAAAATCATTGCACTAGGAAAAGGCCCAAAAGAGGGGCTGTGGTGCATTATGCATTAATTGCTTCTTCTTTTTTTCGAGACAGAGTCTTGCTCTGTCTCCCAGGCTGGAGTACAGTGGTGTGATCTCATCTCAGCCCACTGCAACCTCTGCCTCCTGGGTTCAAGCAATTCTGCCTCAGCCTCCCGAATAGCTGAGACAACAGGTGCCCGACACCACACCTGGCTAATTTTTTGTATTTTTAGTAGAAACGGGATTTCACTATGTTGGCCAGGCTGGTCTCAAACTTCTGACCTCGTGATCTGCCCACCTTAGCCTCCCAAAGTGCTGAGATTACACGTGTGAGCCACCGCACCTGGCCTCTTTCTCTTTCTTTTCCTTCTTTGTCTATTTTCCTTTCCTTTTTCCTTTCCTTCCTCCCTCCCTACCCCCCCCCAGTCCCTCCTTCCTTCCTTCCTTTTCTGTTTTTTCTTTTATTTCTTTTAAGACAGGGTCTGACTGTGTCACCCAGGCTGGAGTGCAGCATTGCAGTCATGGCTCACTTGCACTCCTGGATCGAGTGACCCTCCTGCCTCGGCTTCTCAGAGCACTGGGATTATGGGAGTGAGCCACGGAGCCCGCCCCGTTCTGCTCCTTTCTGAATGGAGTGCTTACTGCTGGCGCTGTTTGCCGCCTGGCGCGCTGTGTGGCCTTGCTAGAGCCCCTTTGTTCATGGTGGTGGATACCTGGCTGTGTAGTCCATGGCTCACAGCCTGGCAAGAATGAGGCACCGGTGGGGTTTGGAGGAAATACAAGCCATGGACCTCACCTGGAGGGAAAGATCTGCAGGTGTGGGAGGAAGAGAGGCTGGGTGGGAAGGTTCTGGTTGGTAGTGGGGGGAGTCCTTTATTGCTGCCCACCTTGGAGCACAGAGATTTTGTGACCATGGGACCTGCACTGCCTGGGGAGCTGGAATGTAAAAAGGAACAGCAGAGACAGGTGCTGGGAGGGGAAGACAGTATGAAAGCAGGAAATGAAGCCTCAGAGCGAGGTTTTCTCCCCCTTCCTGTAGCGCCCAGAGCTATGGGGGTTCTCAGGAACATCAGAGGCCATGAGGAGGAAAGCGATGTGGACCCCAGACAAGCGGCAAGATGGATTTAACACGGACCTGTGTGGATTTCACAGACATCAGCTGCCCTTGGCAACACGGGGTCAGTCCCTCACACTGCCACACACCCTGTGCACACACATACACATGCACACTCGGATGCAGACACGCAGGCACCGCACACACCACAGACACATGCACACACGCAGGCACCACTGTCAGACCCACGTTCACAAACGGAACTATGATTAACCTGCCCATACACATACACAGATACACGGACACACGCATGGAGTGCACACATGTACTCACAGAGGCACACAGACCCACACACTCACAGACTCATTCACACAAACATGGCCATACTTGCAAATGTCAACATGTTCACCCACACAGGACACATCACACACTGCTAGACACTTAGACTCACTCAGCCACGTGGGCACACCCACGTTATCATGCAGAAGCTCAAAAGCCAGTCACAGACACACACATGCTTGCAGAAACAGAGTTTCGCACCACCTCCCTGGGTCTTTTTTTTTTTTTTTTTTGAGAGAGCGTCTTTCTCTGTCGCCAGGCTGGAGTGCTCAGTGGCGCAATCATGGCTCACGGCAACCACCTCTCCAGTTCAAGGGATTCTCCTGCCTCATCTTCCAGAGTAGCTGGCACTACAGGTGTGCACCACCATGCCCTGCTAATTATGTGTTTTTAGTAGAGATGGTTTCTCCATGTTGTTCAGGCTCGTCCTGAACTCCCTACCTCAGGTGATCCACCTGCTTCGGACTCCCAAAGTGCTGGGATTACAGGCTTGAGCCACGGTGCCCAGTTCTTTTTTTTTTTTTTTTTTTTTTGACAGAGTCTTAGTCACCCAGGCTGGAGTTCAGTGGCATGATCTCAGCTCATCGCAACCTCTGCCTCCCAGGTTCTAGCAATTCTCATGCCTCAGCCTCCCCAGTCTCATTTGTATACGTGGGCATCCCTGGGTCTTATTTGTATAGCCTTTCCAGGTGGCTCTGAGGCTTTGGGCAAGTCTGTCCCCCTAGTGAGTCAAAATTTGTTCCCCCCGAGTGAACGCAAACTTTTGTGAACTCCTGTTCCCAGCATTCCCACTGTAAGCATTTGGGGAGGCCTAGAGGTGAGGGGAGCCCTCTAGTAACTGAGACAGAACAGGGTGTTCAGTGTTATATTTAATCCCAGAGGGCTTCAAACAGCACCTGCAGGGTGAGCCCCTGGATGCCTCTGGGTGTGGTTTCAAAGGCAGGAAGGTTTCCAAGAGGAAGCCCAGAAAACCAGAGATTGGGCTCTGAATCAGCCTTCATCTGGACCAGCCCAGCTGCTCCTCGTTGTCACCAAAGAGGAAAATAAGAGGCCACAGGTGATTCCAGAACACAGCCATGGAGGAGAGAGATGCCACCCTGAGACATGAGGGTAGAGGGGCCAGGCATGGTGGCTCACGTCTATAATCCCAGCACTTTGGGGGGCCGAGGTGGGTGGATCACGTGAAGTCAGGAGTTTGAGTCCAGCCTGGTCAACATGGCGAAACCCCATCACTACTAAAACCACAAAAATTAGCTGGGCGTGGTGGCAGGTGCCTGTAATCCCAGCTAGTCGGGAGGCTGAGGCATGATAATTGCTTAAACCTGGGAGGCGGAGGTTGCAGTGAGTCGAGATTACACCACTTCTTTCCGGCCTGGGAGTCAGAGACTCCCCTCCCAGTCCCAAAGGTGTGAGAGCAGGAGAAGAGAACTGGGTGAAGAGAAGTTTGGAAGCTGCCTCGCTTCCCCAGCACCACCCCTTGCAAGCTGTGTGACCTTGGGCTGGTCACTTGACTTCTTGGTGCCTCCACGTCCTCATGAGAAAGAGGATCATGGCGGAGCTTTCATTCCAGCGCTGCTCCGGGAACTGAAGATGTGATATGTTCGTGCTCAAATCAGCCCTAGGAGATGTCATCTTGTCTTACTCCTGCTACATATCAGCGGCGGCGAGCTCTTCAGTGCACAGGTCAGTCTTGACAGGGACCCTAGGGCAGCGGTCCCCGCCCTGGCTGCCCCTGGAATGACCTGGAGCCCATGCCCAGCCCGCACACGGGAGCTGCTCTCGGAATCTCGGAATGGTGCAGGGCACTGTTGGGGCAGCCACAGTCCCTAAAGCTTCCCGGGTCATTCCAAGGAACGGGCAGCTGGGACTTACAACCGCGACCCTAGGGGTCCTAGAGACCATGAGACGCCAGAGCTGGGGTCTCAAACTGGTCCCGAAACGCAGGCACGTAGGGGTGGGGGAGGTCCTTTGAAAACGCAGTTTGCTGCGCTCCATGTCCACAGGAATTCTGTAGATCTCGGGTGGGCCAGAAAATGTGTATCTAGTTCTCAGGAGACGTTGACGCAGCTGGTCTAGGACCTCATTTTTGAGAACCGCCGTCCTGTCGCTTTTTTGCAGTCTAGCATTCAAAGGCCAGGGGGAACTTTGGCGTTTTAAGGCGCTGGGCCAGCGCCCAGAGCACCAAAGTGCTTGGGAAACACTGTCGCTCGCACGATATATATATATATATATATATATATATATATATATATATATATATATATATATATATATATATATATATATATATATATATATATATTTTTTTATAGTAGAGATGAGAGGCGGGGAGCGGGGCCGGGGGGGGGCGGGAGAGGGTTACTATTTTGCTCAGCTGGGTCTTGAACTCCCGGCCTCTAGCGAGCTCGTCCCGCACGATTTTAATCAGCTGCCCTGGAGCGCCTCCTGGTGGTTAAATGGGGGCGCTGCAGCCCTTGCGCGTTGTCACGCTCTCTGCATATCTAGATGTAGGGGATGTGGCCTCTTATGCAAGGGGCGGAGACTGCACTGGGGAAGGTGGGGTCTCGGTGGAAACCGGTCTGCGGAACCGGATTAAGGGTAGGCAATGTCGTTTTCTGTCTCGGAAACCCGGATTCTCCCTCCAGCACCTGGTCACATCCCTAGGAGTCTTAGGGCGCCCCTGTTTCTGAGCTGGCTCGGGGACCAGAGCGGGTTCGGGATGGAGGTCACCTCCCGGGCCCGCTCTCTGAAAGTCTACACAGCCGGGCCTCCACCACGCCCTCAGCGAACTCTGCAAGCTCATTTCCAGGCTGCCTCACTTTTAATCACCAGGCACGTGGAAATCCAACCCGACAGCCACCACGATGGACGCAGGTGGCCTTCTTGGCACCACTGCCTTACCCCATGCCAGCACCGAGCCTGGCATGGGATGGGCAGGAGTGACACATTAATAACCCCCCTATTATCACGCCCTGGCTTGAGGCTTTTGACCTGGCTCTTCCCGAGCCTCCCGTCATGCGCTTCCCCCAGGCACCTGCCGGCTGCACCCCCTCACCTCCTTCAGGTCTCTGCACACTTGGTACCTTCTCAGTCAGGGCTTTTCTGGCCGCCCCGTTTATGATGACTGCAAACTCTCCTGCCCCGGCCTTCCTCGGGCCTTGCCTGGCAGACTTTTGTCCCCAGCAGGCCTCACCCCCTAATGCCTGGATCTCGTCCTCATCGGCAGGCATACCCCTGCCTC